AGAAGGTATTTGAGACTTAATTCCATTTTCTCCAGATCGTCCTCCAGTTCTTCAATAATCTCACAGGATTCCTCTATGCTGGTAGATTGAAGTACCGCTGTTTTAATTCATCCAAGGATCGCTTTATTCCTGATAGTGATTGCAATTTCACTTCTAAAAATGATTCACTTTCTTCATTTTCGACGAAGTCATGCAGAGAATGTTCCAGTTTTGTGACTTTTGCTTTCAGACAACCACGTTGCCTATTCAAGGATATTATTACATTATCCATAGTTGCTGTTCTTTCTTCGGGTCGGTTAGGACCAAAATGGACCGAGTGCATCCCTATCACTTACTGATTAGTACTTGGCTCTCGCCACTAACATTACGTGGCGCTGCAAACATTAAGCCAGTACAAAAAGACATAAATATTCTAACCAAGACGGAACATGCTTCTTCACCAATAATATGCAATAAAATAGCTACTTTAATTTCAAGTGATTTAGTAATACCACCGGACGCTAACATATAAATTTGGGATTTTTTTTTCCAATTGCCTTCAAAATTTAGATTACTCGGTGGCTTTAATCCATCCATATTTAATTTAGGACTTTAAATAGTTTATATATATGTATTTTTAGCCACTTCAAATAAAAATAAACAATCCACTTACCAGCGATGGAAATTTCGATTCCACTGTAAACAACTTCCCATCATGTTTTTGTTGAGAATATCTTTACAGTTATTCGTTATTCATAAATGATGTTATTCATGAGTGACGCTGCATGGTTCTTCCAAAAAAATTTTCTTTTTTAATCTATTGTTGACAACTATGCCATGTATTGTTTTTACATGTTTGATATGTGCTCAGTGATGATTACAAGATGTACACAAACATCGTTTATTCTACATTGCTCATCTACTATTCTATATTTCAGTTATGATTAATTATAATAATAGATACAGTTACAGTTACATATATAACAGTTTGGAGGTTTACAGGAGTGTGAAATTAGTAGAAACAGCTGATGCCCCTGGCAGCTAAATTGGCCCTTACCCGGTTAGGCATGGAGTCGAACTGAGCTTCGATGACAGAAACGGGCCACTCATTCATGTCTATGCCACACTTCATCAACTGTGTTAGAAGGGTGATGGCCAGTCTCTCAACAACCTATAATCAGATACTTTCAATGGGTGACAGATCTGGACATCGTGCAGGCCAGGGCAGCAATCAAATAATCTGTGTATTGAGGAAGGCCAGAAAACAACATGCAACATGTGGTCTTGCATTACCTTTTTGGAAGATGGCATTTGGCAGGCCTCGAAGGTAGGGCACAATCACTGGATGTAAGATGTCAGAAATGTTCTGATCTACATTCAACTTACTGTCAATCTGAACTAGAGATGTGCATGTCATGTACCTAATAGCTGCCCAAATCATCCCATCAGATGCAGGGCCTCTATGCCTATATCGAATGCAAGCAGGTGATGTGCATTCTCCTCGGAGCCTCCAGACACATATACGGCCATCAGAATACTGAATGCAAAACCGGGAGTAGTCTAAAAAGGCGACATTGTGCCACTATCCAGCTTTGTTGTTCGACACACTAGAGTTGCTATCTCTCTCTGTGCTGCACTGTCGAGGAAAACCTGAAGTAATGGTCATGGTGCTGATAGTCCACACTGCTGCAAACATTGATGCACCATACGAATGGATACCAGGCCTACTGCAAACATGTCCATTTCCTGAATAATGGTCTGTGATGTGGTTGTATGGTTTTGCAGGGCTGACCTCACAATATGTCTGTCCTCTTGGACATTAGTTATGGGAATGCGCTGAGATCCTGATTGCTGTAACCCATTGATACCATATTCGCATGACAGTGATTAGATGTTGACCAGTGCGATGGGCGATATCACGGAATGATAATCTACACACTTGATAGGCAACGCTCCTGCTTTATGGGATTTCGACACTTGGTGGCAGGCATTTGTTCATCTTATTCGAGGACTAACACGATATTCTAAGCAAACTCTGATCTTACAAAGCGCTTTCCGAATGTGAAATCTACTACACAACTTTTCTTTAATACAGTGCTTCGGATGTCGTTTCTCCCTCCTAGGCTGTCTAAATGCACTGAAATATTCATCATTTGTATATCCCAACCTCTTCTTCCTTTCAAGCGATTTTGACTTTCATCGAATCATTCCTTCCTGGTGTTGCAACTTTTAATGGCCAGCAGTATATTACAATGTACTGATTCCAATGTTGACTATTAATTACACTAAAGTATGTTATGCTATTATATACTAATAAGCTTTGTTGCTCTGTGCTTCTCTAAATTCTAAAATTTTGCTTTCCCTAAAATCTGCCACATGAGTTCTGGTGCTGACCCAGGGCTTATCTGAATAATGAATCAGTTATTTTCAATTTGAAGTAAATTCTGCTTTTTTCGTATGAATATCACTTACAAATTTATTTTCTGCATATGGAAAGAAATTTGTGACAAATTTCTTTTCATCAGTATACAACACTTCCCAGTGCAGTTAGCTAAATCTGTAATCCTTGCCAACCATAAATAATGTCAACATAAAAGGTTACCATTCTCTTTGGTTTTAATTACTAATATTAAAAAAATTGCTTAGATGTTGCTGTGTGAGTCATTTCTCAAGCTGCCTGGTGTTGAGAGTCATGCGGTGATGAAAGCAAAAAATAATAAATAATGGTTATCCCCATGGGGATTGGGGAAATAAATTATTCGGTTGGTGTAAATTCAATTATGTTTCCATGTAGAATGTTTTGGTTTGGGATGTATGCCAAGCAAAAAGATGAGACTGAAATTAATTATTGATCACACAATTTATGGTAATACATATTTGTTATTTGATATGGAGGTATTTTATTTAGCAACAAAGGAAAATTAAGCATCCAGATTCTCTGTGTGTTTATTACAAAAAATATCAAATGCTTACACATAGAGCACACAAAAAAAAATTTCTTTAAAAAAAAAAAAAAAGATAAATGGTGATCCTGGTTTTCTGTTTTGTACTGTATAAATTTATTTTACATCCAAATTACAAGAATGTGCGAGAAGCTAGGTTAAAAAAAAATTACAGAAGGTACAGATATTGAATCAGAATTTCTATTTCCAGTTAAAATTGGACAAACATACATGAATTTTGACATAAACATCATAATAAATCAAGGTAAATAAGTGAAGATAAAATTAGAGTTAATATGTTTTATACTGTATAAACCTTGTTAAATGAGTTTTCTGAATAAGTAAAAATATAGGTAAATAATTTTAGTTTCTTGTATAATTTATGGAAAATTGATAACGGAGATTGTTACAATTTGAAAAATCTGTTATAAAGTAGGGAATTGAAAAATAAAAATTTTATATAAAAATAGTGAGATTTTATTGAAAAGGTGGTAATATTTTGCAAAGTATATCAAAAAAGATGGTGCTGAAGGAGATTAAAATGGTACTGAAATCTATTACAAGATACATATTCTTATAAAAGTTTTAGTTTATTTGCCTAAGGAGAGCTGAACCTGTAAATGACTTTCTTCTTTTTTTCTTTTCAAACCCCAATTGTGCCCAAATTGCTAAGACCCAAAAAAAAAAAAAAAAAAAAAAAAAAAAAAACCCAAATTTTTAAGAGTTACTGATTTTATTTGTTGGAGGTATGTATATACCTAGTTTCAAAACAATTTGCTATTTTCTTGCAGAATGTAACAAGGAAAGTTAGAAACCTAGCATTACTAAAGCAACTAAAATGGTATGTGCCAAATCAGAGAGAGAGAGAAAAAAAATTTTATTACAAAGAGAGATTAAAAATTTAAATGATAAATTTACTTCTAATGTAATTTTGTTTTATTTAATTTAATTTAAAAAATACATATAACTCAAAATAAAAAGTTTTTAATTAAAAAGACCCTTTTTGTATTCGCAGACAAACATAAAAGATCCTAGCCCCAGCCTTGTGTAATGCATAATATGCGAACAATTAATCATGTATTGTATTAAAAATAATATCTAGACATAACTGATTGGCTATTTTTTGGAGATATATACAAATGGCATCTTCCATAGGTACTTCCTCAAGCAAGATAAAATCATCAGTGCTAACAAATCAATCAAATTCTTCAATATTCAGTTTACTTTCAAAATCATAAAAACAACCTTGTATTTAGCATAAGTATATTGAAACAATCGATTTCGAGGGCAGATAAAGGTCCCTCCTCATAAGGAGAAAGAAATACCTAGAAAGAAAGAAGAAAAATAAAGGGGAAGGAGTCTCAGAAACATGTGGTCCTTATCAGCACTGCACGTGATTATAACCGGATTTTTAATCAGAGTTACACTGGCCGCCTACTTTTACTGAGCCAGGCTATCTGATCAAACATGTAACACAAAGGACAAAAAAAATTAGCAAAGTTAAAAATAGGGATGCTTCACGCTCATTGAGTGTGAAGGTGCAGTTGCCCCTCGATCCCTATTTTTAATTTCGCTAATTTTTCTTGTCCTTTGTGCTACATGTTTGATCAGATAGCCTGGCTCAGTAAAAGTAGGCGGCCAGTGTAACTCTGATTAAATATCCGGTTATAACCACGTGCAGTGCTGATAAGGACCACATGTTTCTGAGACTCCTTCCCCTTTATTTTTCTTCTTTCTTTCTAGGTATTTCTTTCTCCTGATGAGGAGGGACCTTTAGCTGCCCTCGAAATCAATTGAGTGTTTCAATGTACTTACGCTAAATACAAGGTTGTTTTTACGATTTTGATTGTCACATTAGCGTGTTTCTCTTCTAGTCTTATTCAGTTTACTTAATTATCATGTAATTTTCAAGCATATATATATATATATACTCTATTATTCAGCAATTTCTGACACCTGTTTTAAGTTGACTGATAAAATCGTCTATTGTAATAGCATAGTCAAATTTTTTAATGCCCATTTCACTTAATAATCATGTGATTTACAGAAAGACACATATTTTTCAACATGTTTTGATACCTGTTTTGAATTCACACCATAAAAATGAGCTGCATTATCAGGTTGGTTGACATACAAAGTAAGAAAACTGGGTCGAGATTCTGGTGAAAGATCCAGCCACTCCAAAATTTGATCAACTCTAGCTTCAAAAGTTATTTTCCTAAAGATATCAAAAGTTTTGTTAGCTGTATATTTTGCTTTCCATAAATAAAATATAATAATATTACAAAATACATAATTTCCATAATTAAAATATTAAAATAATATGTATATATATAGTCAATTTGGTTTTAATCTTAACTAATAACCAATACCTTCACAAAAAGAACTAAACTCTGTTATATGAGTGAAAAAACGATTAAAAATTTTGAATCAATTCTATGTGTTTATAATATAATTAATTAATGCATTTAGAAGTTCCTATAGCATAAGGATGTAGATGTCATATTTGCATTGTTTTAGAAACAAATTACTGTATATTTTCAAATATAAGCTGATCTATGTAAAAGCCAAGAGTGCATTTTTTCTTCAAAAATTCACCTAAAATTTAAAATCCATATGAAGTCGAAATGAAAAAAATTCATATAATGTTGAAACATATCACTATGGCAGTGAAAATGGTGTTATGCAGGTAAAAGGGATGGAATAGTTTCCAATGAAATCACTATAAAGTAAACCTTCAAACACTAATGACAACAGCTTTAACTCTGGTATCCCTACCTGAAGCTAGGATATTTTATTTTTACGTTTTTTAGTTCTAGTACAGCCCCCAAATGGATAGTGGTTAGGGAAGCCAACTGTGATACAAAAGGGCCCGGTTCAAAACCCGGAGAAGGCATGGTTTTAACTGTAGTCCCTTCATAGAAGGGAAAAGGTGGCCCACCTATTAAGTGCCTCCATAATAAAGTGACCCCCATTTCTGGTCTTAGTAGTGGCAAACCCAAAGTTGGCTGAGGGCCCGCGATTAAAAAAAAATGTTTCTTGTACATGATCTATGGCATTTGTATTAGTCTTATTTTCATTTTAGCAATGATCCACGAGACCAGGAATACACACAATTTCCAAAACAAAACCCATTTTCATAAAACGAACAACTCATTTCATTAAAAATTAATTCTTTTCATAAACTTAAGATATAAAAAAGTACTATTGGTGACTTAACATTTTCGTCCGGCTTAATAGAGAAATGTATCTACAATTTTAGCAAAATTAATGAATCTGTGTATAAGCTGACCCTGCAATTTAGCTTAGAAAAAGCTCCCAAAAATTCTTGGCTTATGCACAGAAATATAAGGTATTGAATTAAAAATAAAATGATTTAAAATAGCTGTTACTGGATTAGAAAAATGAAACAACTAAAAGCTAATTTCAGAGCATATGCAGAGTTGACTATTTATTATTATTTGTATTTTAACGCAACAAAAATGCTTTATCATTTAAAATAGATTTTTAGCAAAGCAGTAGGGAGGAAATTCATAAATATTATTGATCTCTGCAAAAATGAAGATTTTTTTATATCCAACACTGAGAGATTTATTTCCTGGAAAACAGAGTGCAATAGCCGAAAAATTTTTTTATTAAAATATTTCTGTTGGTGCTCTTGTGCCCGTAAAATGATGAACATTAAAAGCAAGCTCTTGTTAAACTTTAATAGAACTATTACTGTTGGTAGCACAAATTTTCAGAAAACTCTTTCAAAGAATGGTTTTTTCCTCTCTCACAGATAGTATTAGACTTTACTTTCTCAGATGTCTACATCTCAAAATGCTTTCTTTCAGTTATTTGCTAATAGATTATACAAAGACTATTTTTTCTGTATTGAAAAGCATCCTATAAATTATTATTTTCATCATGCACTCTGCACGTTTTCAGCATTTTACCTGATATGTATTCTAGTGGTACAGACCAAAAGATATTGACAACATTGGAATGAAGCAAACTATAAAATGAATGCTACATCTAATTGAAAACTTAAATTTTGAAAAATCAAGTACTATGATATACTTTCAAGAACCACACCAAGCAAATTTTAACATAATTCGATAATAAACAAAATCTGTAGTCTTGGCACAGTAAAAAAATAGAGCTCATATATACTCACGAACTGTACTTTTTGAAGTAAGAAGGTAAGCTGCCATTGATTTTTATATCTGAGCCAGGCCAAAAAAAACAAGCAGCTTTTTTACCTTGTTTCTCAGCAGTTATCCATATCTATAAAGAAGAGAAAAAAATAGTGAGGCTATAAACATTTTAAACCTATTCAGGAAGAAAAAAATAATTTAATTTATATCTTGTTTCTCATTCCATTAAATTCAAATAATCTCAAATCTTACCTTTCAGTGACCATCAAAGTCAATTTTTTGGTGAGATAATTTAAAAAGTGAAGAACTATCCAAAAATATTTCTCTGACAATTCAAAACCCCCTTATCAGTTTAAAAATTTCCCATGCATGTATTTTTTTCTAATTTGTTAATCTTTATAGCAAATTCTATAAAATGTCATTAATTCCATACAGATTCATATAACATTTCTATTTCCATAGAAAAATGCTAAGCTTTATCACTTTCTTATATTTATTTAAACGCCAAGCTTATTGGAAATAACATTAGTATTAGACTCCTAGGCCGGCTGCTCTATCACAGTATAAGTCTGTATGTCTTTCCTAATGTTGGATAGCATTTTGAGTGTAACAACAGTAGTTTATGATTATGAAAGCAAGAGTCATAGCTAAGTGCATTTCTCTTGTAGTGTGAGAAGTTTTAAGCAGTACTGCAGAGTGCTCATTTGTGTGATGAAGTAACTAGCATCAAGAAAGCAAGGCAGGTGACTACACAAAGAAGATGAATTTAAATTGTTGGGTATAGTGTGAATGTTAGTCATAATTCAAACATAAGAAGGGAGAGGATAAGACTCATTTAAGATAATACTTGATTCTAATGAAAGAGTCTTCTCCCCAAAGAAATATTTATAAGCGTTAATTAAACATACAACACTAGAGAAGATTAAATATAAACAATGATTAAATATAAGTATAACATGGGGCACTCATCTGATAAAATATTAAAAGAAATGGGTTTGCCAGTATCTGAGTCACCATCAAGTTTTTGTGAAGAGTGCGTACTAGCAAAACATTCCAACACTCCTATGAATAAAGGTCCTAGAAGCAGAGAGCATGTGCCAATGAGAATGGTACACACTGACATATGTGGTCCCATTGATCCACTCACTAGGTAATGTGAAAATTATTTTGCTACAATCATAGACGATTTTTCTACATTTACTGAAGTGCATCTCTTAAAGCACAAAAATGACATAAATGAAGTGTTTAAATTGTTCCTAAAGCAGAATCCTGATCTCTACAAAATCCGGTGTGATGATGCCAAGGAATACGTGTCTGGTGAACTAGCTCGTTATTGCAAGAAAAACGGTGTTATGATAGATCCTGCTCCTCCACCTCCTTTGAATGGTGTGGCTGAGAGAGCCAACACATATCTTTTAGAGAAGGCCCGAGCTCTAATATGTGAAGCAAAGCTTTCTAAATCCTTTTGGGGTTATGCTGTACAGACAGCTGCATATCTTAAGAATAGAATTCCAAATCAGACTGTTGAAAATCTACCTTATGAGCTCAAATATGGGAAGCCACCTGATTTGAATATTATTAAGGTGTTTGGATCTGATGCATACATGAGAGTTCCTGATAACTTAAAAAAGAAATTACATCCAAAATCAAAAAAGATGATTTTTATTGGATACTCTACCATGGGTTATCATTTACTGGACCCACTCACAAATCATGTTGTGGCTTCTCGAAGTGTATTGTTCAATGAAGAGAAAAAGAAATGTGTCTCAGTTCAAGATAATTTTTCCATAAAAAGTAAAGATCCTGCTAAAGATGAAGTAATATATTATTCAAGTGATGTAGAATCCAGAAATCTTTAAGAAAGTCATAAAGAAATTACTAGACAAAGAAGAAATATAAAATTACCTGTAAAGTTGAATGATTACTTTGTGTATGAAGTTAATGTGGCAACTCTTGATACAGTAACATATGAGGATATAACAACATTGCCAAAAGAAGAGCAACTCCTATGGAGGAAAGCCATGGATGAGGAAATAGCTTCTCTTAATAAAAATGAAGTGTGGAAGTTATTCAACTTGCCAAAGGATGTAAAGCCAATATCCTGTAAATGGGTGTTGCGCATCAAACGAAACAATGTTTACAAAGCTCGTGGCTTTGAACAGAAGCCAGGCATTGATTACTTTGAGACCTATGCTCCTGTAATTAGTACATCATCACTTCGACTTGTGCTGGCTATCATTGTTCAAAAAAATTTTTAAATCTATGCATTAGATGTAAAGACTGCATTTCTGAATGGTGATCTCCAAGAAACAATCTACATGGAACAGCCAATGGGCTACAGTGACAATAATGGTCATGTGTGCAACCTTCTTAAGAGTCTTTATGGACTTAAGCAAGCACTGAGGCAGTGGTTAAAGAGATTTACTGATTTTATAATTAAGTTAAACTTTCAACAAGTCTGTAAACTTCAACAAGTCTTCAACACTAAACTGTGAAGCATGTACCTTTGTGAGAAGAACTAAACAGAGTGAAATATTTATTGTGCTGTATGTGGATGACTTGCTAATTGCTGGTTCTAATGATTCAGAGGTAAGAATTGTGATTGAATTACTTAGAAATGAATTTCAGATGTCCAAGGCTGAAGTTGCAAATGAATTTCTAGGAATAAGTTTTGAATATTCACAGAACAAACGTACTTCAGGCCAAAAGGCTTATGTTGAAAAATTGTCAAATAGATTTAGAACGTTGGATTGTAAGCCATCTGATACTCCCCTAGTGCCTAAGTCAACTTCATCAAATTTTGCGAATGGTGAAAGATTTCATGGCCCTTATCGTGAACTTGAAGGTGCTTTGCTGTACCTATCTATGACAACTTGTCCTGAATTCTGTTTTCTGTGAACTGTCTGAGTCAGATACAAGAACAACCCACTAACAGTGCTTGGGCTGGTCTGAAGCCAATTTTTAGATATTTAAAAGGGACATCTGAACTCAAATTATTATTTTGTAAATCTAATAGTGTTGATATTACGTTAAATGTTTATGTTGATGCTGATTGGGGGTCAGATACAAATGATAGAAAATCTATTTCAGGGTATTTTATTTTCTTTAATGATTGTCCTGTAACTTGGTCTGTTAAAAAGCAAACATCTATTGCTCTGTCCTCTACTGAGGCAGAAATTTTGGCTTTAGCAAAAGCTATTCAAGACCTAACTGTATTTTTGTAATGTATCTAAAAAATTTTAGGAGTCGACAATATTAAAGTTTCAGTTTATGAGGATAATCAGTCTGTAATTAAAGCAATATTGAATGAAAGTAATTGTGCTAGACTAAAACATTTGGATATTAAATTAAAGTATATTAGGGATATTGTAAAATTGTACGATATAAATCTCGTATATGTTTCTAGTGAAAATCAGTTAGGCTGATTTGTTTACAAAATGCTTGCCTAAACCAAGATTATGTAATTTAAGAGATAAATGTAAAACAATATGTGATTAAGTGAGGGTGTTGAGAATAATCACACTTACTCCCTGGTTTATGATTTGATGTTATATATATATTTACCGTAACTGTTTATATTTTGCTTAGGTTGTATTGGAAACAGTCGTTGTAGTTTGGTTATGGTGTGATGTGTAGAAATTTGCTGTTTCATGTGCGTGATTAATTCCATCATTTAATAAAGCCTCTACTTAATTATCATCGGCCTCTGATTCACCTTTTTTTAAATCTTTACAGTCATCAAAGATTATGCTAGTTCAGTCACATCAGCCAGGAAATTACAATTAAAAAATTAATTCTAAAAGTTCTAAGAGACCTTTCATGATAAAGACTGCTTTCAGAAGAAGAAGACTCTCATTTTTACATTCTTAAAAATGTTATCTATCTCATTCGTCAATATAAAATTTCATCCTGATTTGTTTGGAACTCTTCGTATTAAAACAGATAGAAAAATAAAATAATTTAAAACTTTCAATATCGCTCAAATATTACTATAAAAAGAAGCTTTAATCTTTAAAGCAAACCTCAAAGTAAACCTCCCTTTTTTTATACTAGGGAATACATATGCATTAAAAGCTTCCAAAAAACCTTTTGTATATTTAGTATTAAAAATCATGTAAAATCAAATGTAAAAAATGTTGAAATCATTGTAAAACCCTAAATGTAGCAAAATAACTTTAGCCATTCACTTACTGGTTCCTTCTCCCACCAGAAAGATTCCAGCGTTTCAGGCTTCCCAACTTTAAACAATTTTCTCGTAAAAGGATCATACATAGAATTATCAATAATTCCATGAGATGGTGGATTCAAACCCTAAAAAATATTTAAAAACATATTTTAAAAACATATTTTTACATTTTTTCCTGCAAAGATATATTTTTGAATGCTTTTATAAAGAAAAAATATATATTACATTGGGGAAATTTTATGAACAAATAATACTTACCTTTCCAGCGATTCATTTTATAATTTTGCTTCTTTAAAAAAATTGTTTGAAAAGATTTCTTACAATGGAAAACATACAATTCTTCATTATGGCAATGAAATTTTAAAAGGAAATTAATAACATGTATATTGAGACAAATCAATGCATGGACAAAAAACAGAAGTATTTAAAAATCTGTATGATAGCAAATGAAAACTTAATAATAAAATTCAATGACCAGATAGAAAAATGATTTATCCCATAAGAGGGATCATAAACTGTAGTCACACTGTCAAAAATATCTAGAGAATTGGAAAAGTATGCTACACTCATATTTCATTAAACATATAAATATTTTTGGCGACATGGTGTGCTGCCTTTTCAGTACTTTTCTGTGGCTTCTTGATGGGGTTACAGATGATCAGAGAGTAGCAAGTTTTCCAGGAGTTAACATTAAATTACAAATATAATTTCTCGAAATATTTATATTCTGCATTTATAATAATTACACACATTTTAATGGAAGTTTAAATGATTTATAATTATAAAGACATCCATTCATTAAAAATAATTTAAAAAGTAGTTAATAAAATATTCATTAAGAAGGCACTGTTAAAATCATAATCTAAGGATACCTTGCAGTTTAAAGTAATAGATTAATACACATATCAATATAATTTATTTATCGATTTTAAAAAGACCTAAATCATTATACATTAAAAGTAAGGAGAGATCCAACTCATCAGTAAGAAGACATGGATTCCACCAATTAATGTAATACATGATAAACAGCAATGTAAAAATCTAACAAATTTATCTTAATGCAGAAATTAAAAATTAAGAAAGTAAATTTGCAAAGATTAATCTCGATTGTTTGGAGCTTCATAACAGAACTTGTCAAGGGGAAAGTGCTTTGAAGCTCCATACCCAGTCGATTAATTGGATAGCCAAGACAAATTTCATTCCGACTAATTCACTGAGACTTAGAAGCGTAACTCTTAATTAATTAATCAATGAATTAGCAGAATTAAGAGTCTCATTGAACTGTCTCTTTGCCCTATTTGTCTTAGCTTTCCATACCATATTATGTAAAGTGACACATTTTTTACTTTTTTACAAAAACAAGTATACAAATATACATAAAAATAATGATATACAAATAGATAAAAACCTGTGAACTCATGAAAAATATTTCACTATTTAACAAGTAAAAGGAAAATCTATTTATTAGTCTCTGTTTAAGTAATTAAAAGAGACAGTCCTGTAAACAGGACTCAAAAAGGAGTGTCTCAAAAAAGATAGAAGAAAAACTTTTTAGAAAAATGCCAGTTTTAAATGAACTAGAGTACAATGGTGCAAATTTTCAATTAAATAGTACTAATATACTTGTAAACTGATCTGCAAAAAGAAAAATGTATTGGCTACAGTCCTTTTACTTGTTAAATAGTAAAACTTTTTTCATGAGTTCACGGGGTCTTTGTATCTTTGTATATCATTATTTTTACGCATATTTGTATACTTGCTTTTGTAAAAAAGTAAAAATGTTTCACTTTACATAATATTGTGTTGGAAAGCTAAGACAAGTAGGGAAAAGAGACAGTTCTAAGAGACTCTTGATTCTGCTAATTCATTGATTAATTGATTAAGAGTTATGCTTCTGAGTCTCAGTAAATTAGTAGGAATGAAATTTGTCTTGACTATCTAATTAATCAACCGGGTATGGAGCTTCAAAACACTTTTACCTTGACAAGTTCTGTTATGAAGCTCCAAACAAGGGAGATTAATCTTTGAAAATTTACTTTCTTAATTTTTAATTTCTGCATTAAGATAACTTAGACTCTCAGATTTTTACATTGCTATTTATCATATATTACATTGCTTGGTGAAATTCATGTCATCTTACTGATGAGGTGGATCTCTCCTTTAAAACTACATTTAAATTTAGCAGCACTTTGTGCCAAATTATTCCTTTTAGTACAAACATACTTGCTTCTTACTAGCTGACTGCTTCTTTTCTCATTATACATTAAAAAATATAGAACATGAGTTGGTCTCCAAAACATTCATTTATTTTTTTAATCTAAATATTTTCAGATATTTTAGCATCTAATTTATTCACATCCCTTTTCTTCATTTTAACTACTTTTTAAAATCTGCTTTCATATTTTGAATGTATACCAAAAAAAAAAAAAAAAAAAAAAACTTTTTTTAATTTTGTGAAAATTTCTGATGCAATTTTTTCTTATACACATATATATAAAGAAACAGACTAATAATAATAGGCCAAAAATCGAAAACAAAAGTTTTTTAACCAGTCTTGCACTGTAGCTGCAGGATTGAAGTAAATTAAACTTTAAAATCTAAAGTTAAAATTAAGAAATGGCCTTGCTTTGGTTTAAATTTAATTGTAACTTTAGATGCTTTAAATTTAATTTACTTTAATCCTGCAGATATAGCACAGGACTCGTTAAAAATTTTTTGTTTTTAATTTTTGGCCTATTACAAAAGATCCTCGAAATACAAGCACCTCTATATACAAGAAATTCCAGATATGAGGAAAGTATGAGCAAAACATTTGTCTCTAAACATGAGCATTGACTCGAGTAATGAGCAAAGAGCCAGGCTGTTGGTATGCGTGGTGCTATTTGACTCGAGTAATGAGCAAAGAGCCAGGCTGTTGGTATGCGTGGTGCTATTGCCCTCGCTCGACTCGGGGAATCCCTTCGTCAGATCACTCAGTGTTCTTTGATCTACAAGTTTGTTTGCTTGTGAGTTAATTGTTTTTTACCATTTAATGTGAAAATGATTTTTTTCACGATGCCTCCCAAGAAGATTGTTGCCTCAGATAGTGCTGCAAAAAAAAAAAAAAAAAAAAAAAGGGAAGGAAGCCATGGCCATTGAAATTAAGAAAAAAATCATAGAATAAACATAAGTGTGTTGTAAGAGTGATGAAATCGGAGAAGACTTACGGCCATCAACATCAACGATCATCATCAAGGATCATCATCAACGATCTGCGCTATTCTGAAGGAGAAGGAAAAAATTAAGAAACTTGATGTGGCCAAAGGAGTTACCGTTACCTCCAAGCACTGTCCAAAACTCCTAGATGTAGAGAAGCTGTTGTTGGTGTATACTTTAACGAGAAGCAGTTAAAAGGCAATTCGGTGTCAGAAGCTATCATAAAGGCAAACTGCAGTTATATTATTTACCAGTATTATTTATTAAAAAAATTATTTTTGTGTTGATATTGTTGGGGATGCAGAACGGATTAACTGGATTTCCATTATTTTCAATGGGGAAGTTTGTTTCTAGATAAAATTCGCTGCATGAGCTCAGTGGTAGAACAAATTAAATTCGTATCTCAAGGTTCCACTGTATTCTGTTTCTTTTTGTACTTATTACCATTATCAGCCTTCAGCGCTGTTGTTCCTGTTTCCTATTAAGGTTTTTTGTAATTTCCAGATCGGCAAATTTGCAAGGTTTCCCCCTTTAATAGTGATCAATTTTTAGTTTTTCCTTCTAGAGAGACTAACTGTAAAGCAGGTTAGCTTCCTCTTTACTTTTAAACCTGAGCTCAGTTAAAGTCAATTGAAATAGTCAAATGTAAAAATTCGCTTTGAAAAACAAATGCCACTTCTTCTCTGCTCAATAAAAAAAAACAACAACAAACACTATGAAAATCATTCAATTGTATTTAAAAAATCACGTGTAATAAATGTAATTTAAGTTATATTGGACAGACCTAGAACAAACTTAACATTAGGATTAATAACCACCGAGTTCACATTAAAAAATTTTAAAGTCTGCCTCATAAGCAACAGAAAGATGTCGATAATATTACAGTGATTCTTAAACATTTTCAATTGCCTGATTTCGAATAAAATAGTACGTATTTCTATTTTGGATATTATTCCCAACAACAAAATAAGACTTTTTAAAGAATTCATTTACATATCACAAAATAAAACTTTACCCATTCGGACTCAATTCTTATAGTATACAGACTAATTTAAGAGATTAAGTCAATTTGGTTTATAGTCAATCTGGAAGATTCTGTGCAAAAACAATATGAGAAACAAGAGGAGGCTATAGAAATAAAAGATAATTTTTTACTTTAGATTCTGAAAAATTGATTACAAAATTTCTCAAATTTTCATCTAAAGCAGGGCTGTCTAACTAGTGGCTGGCAGGCCTCATATGGCCCCCCAAATTATTTTTAACAGCCTGCGAGTGCATTTTACTGTGAATAAATTTAAGTTACTAAATTATTATTAATTTTAAAATTATTTTACTATGTGAAAATTTAAATCTAATTTGAATTTAAAGAAGGTACTATTCAGTTTGCGTAATTTCACTTAACCTGGCTGAATAGAGCAGCAATCCGTTTAACGTTGGTGCCACATATTATATTTGTGGTTGGTTGTTGTTTATCTATGGTTGGCGCATGTGATGCGCACACTACCTTGCGCTACTTGGTTGATTTATGCAATCGTGCGAGTGCAGTCTCGTCTAGAATTTGAGGAGTGACTGTTATAATATCATTAACTTAATTTCATATTTATTTATTAATTAAAATAATTATTGAATATGAGTGCTACTAATAAAAGAAAAATAGACCTCGAAAATCGAGAATTTCAAGATCGCTGAGACATAGATTATTTATTTATTCTGAACAAGAATGGTAAACTACAGTGTTTGGAATGATTACAAATCATAGCACTGTGTAAAGAATATAACTTGAAGTGCCATTATCTTTCCACGCATAAAAAAAAGTATCATTCGTACATGTGAGACATGAAAATACCACTAGCGAAAAAAATGAAAAAGCAGCTGGATCATCAAACGATTTATTTTAATCAAGAACCAAAATTTCAAGAAGCATCTGTAG